TCAAAAACAAAGAGTTTGCTTGTTCTAAAAGTTGGGAAGAGCGTTTCAAGAAGAAGCATAATATCAGTAGCGGAAAAATTGTTGGAGAGTCTGCCAGTGAAAAATTCTTCTTATAAAAACGTTAGAGGCGATCGATAAAAATGAAACATTTTCTATAAATCTCTTAGATGCAGTCAATTTTATTCATAGAGCTTGGCAAAAAGTTACCCGAAAAACCATTGCAAATTGCTTTAAGCATGGGGGATTTGTAAGAAAAGAAAATGATTATGAACTAGACGATGAAATTCCAATTAACGAATGGTTAGAAAGGTATAAAGACTCTGACTACGAGTATGACACAGACAAAGATGTCCCAATGTTGTCGAAGAACAAGTTAAAACCAATTTGAGTGATTTCAATTTCTTCGAATATGTGAGCATTGATAATACAAGCGAAATGTTGACCGATGAGCAAATTATAGACTCCGTAAACTCATCTACAGCTTTAAGCGATAATGAGAAAGATTACGATTTAGGTGAAACGTATTCTAGTGTAGCCACTAATGCTGTTCCAACCATTTCTGAAATGGCAAAAAAAGTGTCAGAAACTCGGAATTTTCTACAATCACGCCAAGTTCCTAATCATATCTGGGAGTCCTTTTGTGATCTTGAAAACTACATAAATAACATCTATTTTTGCAGCAGAAATGTACGAATAAAAATTACAGACTTTATCAAGTAGATTTCAAATTGAATTTTGTTTATCTTTTTGTGTCCTTTTTAGTCATACCTACTAACTTCTACTACTCTATGTAAAAATAACGAAATAAAATACACCACGTGTTTTTGTATTATTATTCACTTATAGCGAACTCCGGATATAACGAACCAGTTTTAGTTCATGTTTCAAGTTCGTTATATCCGGACTCAACTGTAATTCGTATTTTTAATACCTATTAGAGTGAGTTACACTGTAAAGAAGTTTCTTACGTTGCCTTTGACCTTATAAGGAGTTGTAATTTTTAAGTTTTTTCAATAAAAATTAATATAAACACCCAGTTTAATGTCAAAGGAGATTAAGTTTTTTCTTTTCTACTTCAATTTGTAAATCTAATAATTGAAGCTTTCGCTTTCTTTCACATTCATTCAGTAACAACTCCTCTTCCAATTTCTTTTTCTGCAAATCTGCTAGTTCTAGCCGTTTATCAAGCAGTTGGTCGTATTTTTCAGCTATTTCAGACCTTGTTAGAGCTTTGATTATTTGATATGATTTTGATTGCATTGTTAGTCGACGTCTAGTACATGCTAGTACAGTAGTCAGTAGCATAGAACAAGGCTTATATATATTATATATAATAGGTCAGTAGTACACATATATGAAGACAAGGAGTACACAATAAAATATAACATAACCAATATATTACTGGCCGCGTTGCTGTGAAAGATCATGTGAAATAAAATTCGATAATCATGAAGATAGCAACCTAAGGCCAAAAATCGGAGGTGCCATAGTGACAAACAACAAGCAACAAACGTCGCAAACTAACGGACGATTAGTTTGCGACGGTGCAACACATTTTGCATACGAACGTTTTTTGACGTCGCGTCACCGCACCGTTAAAAAACGCTCGTATGCACCGGCCCTTAGTTTGCGTTCTCTTTCTGACGCAGACCCAAATAATTGCAACCTTGTTGCGCTCATGAATGTGAAAATCCCCAATTTATCATTTAGTATACAAAGTGTGTAAAATAATCCAACTGTAAAACTTTCTGATTTTCCTCTAGGAAAGCACGTTTCTTTGCGCAACTGGCAGCATAGAATTGGCGGTGAGCTTTCTGTTCTACCTAGCTAGAATATTCGTGTTCCACAAATTGCACCCGGACATAGTGCTAATTGCGTATTTTCTGCGCTCGCAATTGTGCCAGACCTGCACTTTACTGCTGATATTTTTCCCGAAATTCTGGTACCAACAGCGGCAGGCCAGAACGTTGGCGCAGGAATACTCATGCCGATTTCCGCTCGACGCGTTTAAGGTAAGCGCGCCCGTTAATTAGTAAATAACGACTGGTAAATGAGCAGTAATTACGAAATACGTGGCTGTCTAATCCCGGCTAATGGGAATTTGATGCTCGCATACCAGAAGATTGAAAGTTTCAGGAACGATCGTCGTCTGCGAACAACAGCGATGTGGAGATAAGCGAGATAACGATAGCCGATATGAATCCTGATGATATCAGGGCGGAACTGAAACGTCTCTACTTGCAATTGGAGATGTTCAAGGCGAAAACGATTTGCAGGGACAATCCGCACATATCAAAGAGACGAGGTGGCAGGAAGGCTCAACATCGCCGGTTTAGTTTGCAGGTAGTTGACCTGTTTTCAAAGTTTTTCTGAAACGAAATGTTCAAAAATGCATTATTTCATTTGCTGGTATTTGCAGGAAAAAAACGCAATTTTTCACTTATATTGAAAGTTTTTTGGGTCACCCTCTATAAACAAGGTGCTTAGAGTAATCCAAAGTTTGGGTTAAATAGTGGCCTATTTCCTAAACCGTAGGAGTTAAAAGTTCGGTTAAATTACGCAAACGCTGTTAAAATTTGATGATTAGTTAAGATCTTAAGATATTGCCAATAAAGTTTGTTCGGTTTCGGAAATATTCGAAAAAAACCAAAGATGTTTGTGAGCGTTTTTTGCAAATAACTGCAACATTTTATAACTTCCCAATTCTACGCTTTGATATTAAGTTTAACAAAATTGCACTTTCAGTTTATATGATATTGACACTCCAATTTTTATGGTTTTTTTCTTGAAGATTAATGAAATTGGGATGAAGTAATCATTTACAAGAAGAAAAAAAACGCCCAGAGCGCATTTAAAAAAAATGGGCTCAGTGTCGATTGAGATTTGATAAAAAAACACGTTTAGTGTCTGTTCAGTAATAATTTCAGGCTAAAACAGGCACTATTTTTCTTTCTCTTCACTTCCAAAGCAATGTTTTTGAACCCGGCAAAATAAAGCATTGTGGGGATTCAATTTTGGTTTGCAACCTATAAAATGTCACCGTTTTCCCAACTAGTACTTGCCGGTGGTCCAAAAAGTGTTAAAACTTGGATATATTTTATTTTAAAAGTGGTTAATCAGTAGATTACGGGAACACACACGTTTGAGTCAATCAACCGAAGTAAAACACGAATAAAATTGTGCCAAGCGTAAATAGTGCACAAATAACGACAGCCACAATGTGCAGTATGTCAATATAACGGCGGCACTATTAGTGGCATTGCCGCAATATGTGTTCAAAACCTCTCTAGCACCACGTAAACTACGTGCTGTTTGGTGAAATTTAATCCCAATACGTAGAGCTTTAAAACTAATCAAATGTTTCAAAGACAATTTTTATCAAAAGCCTATAGTTTATTTGTATAATTG